TGTAGCTCGTCAAGGCGAGTCTAATGGTGGTCTTTGTTTTGCGCTAAGTGATCTAGAATTGCTAAAAATTGAGTTTTAAAATTCGACGTAATCGATTTTGAACAGTTTTTCGCTATAACTTGGCCAAAAAGGGATGTATTAACCCGCGCCCCGTTGGGCTCTGCCGAGCAACGCGCCCGGTTGGGGGGGGGGGCATTTTGGCCCCCCCCCCCTAAGATCTCGAGAACCACGCAACATAGCGGCAAGCGGTAAACGGCGTTGGATAGCCCCAACGGGGAACTACCTTGTGACCCAATTTTATTGACCTAGGTCAAACTGATGACGTCACAGGTCAGGTCAAAGGTCCAATTTTCACCGTTTACAGGCACTTCAAGAAATGCGTTGTAAAATCGAGTAAAATGCATTTCATTGAAAATCATCGATGGGGAAATGTTCTTCAAACACATATTTTGCTATTTGAGGTCACTGATACCAGGTCAGGTCACAGAGGTCAGGTCACGGGGGGTCACAATATGAAAGTGTCGTGTGATACATGTTTTATGGTCCATTTTACATGACAAATGTGATTATATGGGTCAGGCAGCCTTTGGGGCCAGCTTAGATCACGTTTTGGTCAAGGTCAGGTCAAGGTCAGGTCAAGGTCAGGTCAAATTAGGTCAAATTTCAAAGTTAATATTTTTGCATAAAATGGGTATCGAATCGATGCAGCTCGTCACGGGGAGTTCAATGGTGGTCTTTGTTTTGCCGTACGAGTCTAGAATTGCTAAAAATTGAGTTCAAAAATTTGACGTCATCATTTTTGAACAGTTTTTTCGCTATAACTTGGCCAAAAAACGAGATATCGATCTGAAATTTGGTATGTATATAGAAGAGCGCTGGGACTATCACATATATTCCGGTTTTTTCGAAATTCGGAAAAATTTTGGATTTTTTCAAAGTTTTTCTAAAAAAAATCAATTTTTTGATTTTGTTTGGGTCAAAAACCAAAAATTTTGAAAATCCGAGATAGCAGTTTTGTAGCGCCGCCTTTTGTCTACTAGACCATATAAGGAACTTTGAAATTGCTTGATAACTGTAGATTTGGTGAGCGTTTCAAGATTGCATGTTTTTTGCTCATTTTTGCTCGAACATGACCTCAGTTTGACCTCAATAACTCCTGACCTAAGGTGACCTAAGACTTGAAATTTGGTGTGAAGGTGTCAAATTGATGCCCGGGAAGGTACTGAAAATTTGGCGGCGCTGCGCGCCGCCGTTTTCTTGCTATTCAGGAAAAACCACAGGGGGGGGGGCCAAAATGGCCCCCCCCCCAACGGGGCGAGGGTTAACCCGCGCCGGGCCGGTGCTCTGAAATTCCGCGCCGGGCCGCGGGGGGTGTTTGAACACCCCCCCTTCTAACTCGGCTCCTGGGCCACGTAGCGACACGCGGTAAGCGGCAATCGAAAGAACGTCAAAAATAAGGACGAAAACGCTCGGTCATTTTTTGGGTCAGGTCAAAGGTCAGGTCACCAGAGGTCACCAAAGGTAAAATGTTGACTATTTCAACATTTTGGAAACTGCCAACGGCTATCTCGGGAACCGATAGAGCTACAGCGCCGCAAAAAAACGCATTCGATAGCCCTATTACAGACCTTTCTGAGTAATGTTCTCAGATTTGACCTCAGGTCAACGGTTTAGCCTCCAGAGGGCAAAAACTAAAAAAAAAATAGCCGTTTTTACGAAAAACGTTTTTTCGGCAATAACTTTTGACTCAAAAGAGCTATGACATTACTTTTGCCAGCATCGTGTTCCTCTCGTGGAGACGCGTCGAATGAACTATAATTTGACCTTGAAAGGTCAACTTGAAAATTTGACCTCAGGTCAAGGTCATGACCTGACCGGAAAAGGTCATGTTGCATATCAGTCGATCCGCAACGTCGAGCCAAACACATCTAAGGCGTTTTCAGCGCTCTAGCACGCCTCTATCAGAAGTTATCATCGAAAAACTGTTAGATTCTGTTCGTGACCTGAGATGACCTCGGGGACATAAGGAGGGGTCACAGTTGCCATTTTCTGGTTCAGTGTGTCTATTTTACCTACTTCTCGATGTTTGAGAGTGTCTAGAATAGCGTTTGTGCAAAACAGGCGTTTTTCAATTTTCTCCCATTGACTTATAATGGAGAGGCCGCAAAATTGACCTGACCTTAGGTCACCGATATCAAAATTCCGAGATATACATTTTATAGATAGTGTTGCTCTAATCAATCGCTGAAAGTTTCAAGGCAATCGTTCAGTCGGTGTAGCTATGACGAGCATTCTTATTTTTTCTGAGGTGAGGTCACTTGGCGTGACCTGGTGACCTGACCCAAGGTGACCTGGGTCTGAAATTTTCACAACATGTGCGGAAAAGATGCACAAACAGGTGTGCCAAAAACGGCGGCGCTCCGCGCCGCCGTTTTTGAGATATCTGCGAAAAACCGCAAGGGGGGTGTTCAAACACCCCCCCCCCGGCCCGGCGCGGGTTAATCTCAAATTTGGTTTGTGAATAAAATGCGGCTGGGACCATCACATATATTCCGTTTTTGCGAAATTCAAAAAAACTTTTGGGATTGTTTGGCTATTATATTTAAAAATACCTTTTTTGATTTTGGGGGGATCAAAATCCTAAAATTTCAAAAATCCGAGATAGCAGTTTTATAGCCCTAGAACTTTTTTATGTATCTCTAAAGCTGTAGGCCTGACAGCTCTTCCCGCGAAACCTTTTTTGTCAAAAATGGCAAAAATGACGTCACTCCGACGTCATTAGCGGCCAACCTATCATAGCCTTTGGGAAAAAATTGGTCACAATGTGTAAAAGCTATTCCCAGGAGGGTACTGAAAGTTTGGTGACGATCGGCGCAGTGGTTCTGGAGATATATCGAAAAGTAATGGGGGGGGGGGCAAAAAATGTCCTCCCCATCGCCTGGATAACTACTCTGAACCTATATAATCATACAGCACCTTTTGTCCAGTGTCCCAGGCATTTACATATAGAACATCTAAACGTAGAACACCTGAACGTCAAAAATTTATTGCTACCATCATTCAAAATTACACAATCATTTTTATAAACTCACCGAACTGAGTGCCAGCCAACGTCCACACATAAAACGTCGGCTGGTGGCGGTTTTACAGCCTACGCATAACATCAATTCCAAGGCTGACTTGGATCCATTCAGAATATCACGCGCACCTTAGGTACTGGCGTGACCAGCGCAGAAGGTCGGCCGTCCTGCTGGCAGCGATTAGCATTTCGCGACTGTATCCGAGGAGGGTGTTATAAATGTTCCCAGGGACTCTTGGAAGGTAATCTAAGGGCATTTGAAGCGCTGCGTGCTTGCCGGTAAGCGAACGTACAAATGAGTTTCATAGACGATAATGAAAACAACGACAGGTTTTGTAACATAAATTCAGCGGCAAAAAAAATAGTTATTAGAAGCAGAGGCGGCTACAGATGCAGCCCTACAGTCCAGCAGGCTGATACAGGTAGATGTTTTTGAGTTCCAAATATCAATAGATCAGTCTGATCAGGCACGAGTCGTTTGCTAGATCCTCGAATTCCGTTTGTCGCCGTTGAGGTCAGCTCATTTCTGCTTAATTCCTTCGAGTCTGACATCAAAAAGAGCTTGCATAAGTTGGGTTCTCCAGAATTATATGTGGTTCCGCCTGGTTATCGAGTTCCACGGAGTTTCAGTTTTGTTCAATGGTGTTTTGGTGGGTTCCAGCGAGCTCCGTTCAGGTCCACTGGGTCGTTCAGTTTTGCTTTGTTCCGGCCGCCGGCCGGTTCCATACGGTTCCGACGGGTTCCATACGGTTCCGGCTCTGACGTAGAGGTCGGAGCCCTGTCGGAAGGAAGGTCATCGGGGTGCGTCCATGGGTCCAGGAAGTGTCGCGTCGTCCTTCAGCTCGGCTGGGCTTCCCCAGTCCCGCGTCCCAATCAGCTGGTATAGTCAGCGGTGAGCGCAGAGTCCTCTCTTTTTGTTGTCGTCAGGAACGTTGTTTGCGCAGACCATTCAGGGTCAAGTCTCTATCGAGAGCAAGCGGTGATCATGAGTTAGTTTGGATGGTTTAATGTCTGGTCTGAGTTAGTTACGCTCAATTACAATTAGTTTTAGCTGAGTAAAAACTAGAGACATACGTGTCAGAGCTAACTATGTGATATGCTTTGATAAAGCAATTCACCAAGCCTGGATTACATAAAGCTGTGATCTTGTTTCACCACAGCATCTACTGCAGGCGTTAAACAGATAATACTCCTATCTCCCCTCCTCGTTGCATTGGGTCAGCCGAAGGCTATTCCTGCCGTCAGTCTCCATTAAACCCTCGCTGTACCCAGACACCCGTGATTTGGACCCGTTCAGACGTGACCGTATAGCCCGTCCTCGACTTCCCGGCTGTCCCTTTAGCAGGAACTGGGCGCCGAGGGCGGCTGCAGTGGGCGCGGTGCTACCGTGACCTTCACGGTGACCGGTTATTGGGTCACGGGAACAATAACAACCCTTCTGGTCACCTACTTCCAGCGGTAACGGACCGTGCGACCGCCGAGCCGGCTGTTATGTCTGCTGCTGAATGGACGAAAAACAAAACAGGAAGTTGGTGCTGTTTTACCGTGCGTTTAGCGTCGGTCGTTGTGCGAAGTTGCCGTTGATTTTACCCACGCTGAAACACGCCAATGCTCAGAGATGCGATATATTTCACTCAGTCAATACACTGAACCAAAACCTTCTCAACCTTCTCAATGAAGTTTTTCTCTCTTTTCTTTCTCAAACCTGCCGACAGAGTGTGAGAATGGCCGAGAGAACAACTAACTGCGCCATCGAATAGAGATAATGACCGTGACCGACCAAAGACGGCTACAAGGCCAAGGTAGTTTCCCTCTCATACCGACCTTAATTTGCATGAAATTGTGCATTTCATCGTCGAGATCAGATGCTGACAGCATAAAACGTGTTATAGAGACGCTTCTGGACTTCCCATTTTTATAGATCGGGGTAACTGGTGAGCCTAGCAACAAAAAGAATCGCAGTCTGCAATAGATGGTCTATAGTCAATGATGAATGGGCACTTCCCTGACAGGAGCATCGCTCAATCTGAAACCGAAACCGTTCAGACGCCCCAGCCGAGACCCGTCTCTGAATTCCAGATGTTCCCCCCGTCCGGGCGCCCGGAAGTAGCTGCACGCGTCTGCGCCATGGAAGGCTTATCTGGCCATCACCACGGCCACCCAGAGGTGGTCGGAGCGATCACTCTCCGCGCTGGACAGGGGTGACTCACCTGCGCAGAGGAACTCACGGTCACCCCGACGGAGCGCCGGAGGACACGGAACCCGTGCGCCGCCACCCCACCGCCGCGCCGCCGCCGGCGCCGCCCCGCGCGGAAGGACCTTGGCCCACCGTTCGACGTCGTCCAACCCGACAGAAGTCACCGTCGCCGCCACTCGACGACGGCGACGGTGGCGCCGCCACCGGCCGTCGACGGAGGCTGGAGATGCTGGAGGCATTGCCGTGCTCCTGCCGCCGCCGACTCAAGGCCCCCAGCCGACAGGCTACTATAAGAACGGAGATGACCTAGTTTGGCGTCACTCGATACAGTGGTGCAGCGGCCGGTCGAAAGCGAAAGTACCGACGTCAGGTGAGTGACTCCTGGGTCGGTGGGCGGGAGCGCGCGCTGCGGCGCGGCGGGGCGTGGGACGCCGTCAAAACAACGCGAGAAAAAGACCTTTGCCGGAACGTCATGAGGTCTTGCATTGGGTCATTTAGAGTCGTTTTTTAGTATGCTTGTGTTAGTAAAAATAGGTCCTAAAGTATACAACATTGTACAACAACAATATTTCCCAAAAAAATACGTTATTTAATTTTTCGTAAAATTGATTTACCACGAAATAAGTTAAAATGACATTAAAACTGTAGTAATCAGACAAAAACAAGTCACCGTTTATACAGGACTTTTCCTCTCAAAGGTGCTTACGAAATTGACTCGTCATTGTAGAACTTTTGCAAGTGCAACGACTTTGCCATCCGTGGTTGATCATGCTGCACGTGCTGTGACGATTGGACAAGTGCAGCAATAATATTTTGATACGTTGGATGAGGGATACGTTGGATAAGGGCACTACACAACAAAAATACTGCTGGTCAATAGGAACATGCTTGCTGGCATATAAGCCTCTCAAAAATTTGACATCGGCCGATCAGCCTGCCGGTCTCTCAGATCTCTCCGGTAATTTACGAAAGACGAGCTTTGTGCTTCACGCTCGTTCGTAATAAATGTGTTTTGATACCATATTCCAAAACTCCGTGTTGCTGACTCAAGCCAATATTTTTCACTTTCTCGACAATTAATCTCGAAATAATTATCAAAATTAATAACGGGAAATTATTTAAGACGAAAATTGGTCATGTGATTCGCTTTTCTGTTTTCACTAAATTTTGAAGTTATCCAATGGCTTGCGAATATTTGAGGATCTTACGTGCGGTTTAATGTCAAATTTATTGTATTAAAGTCTTGCCATTTTCACTAAAATAAAATTCATGTCGTAAAAACAACGTCTAGTGGCTAGTAAAATCAAAAGCAACCATTTACTTAGCACAAAATACTTGTAAATAGGTTAGAATACTTAGAGACTTGTAAAACCTGCATTGTTTTACTGGCTTCCATGGTTTTCTATAAATCGTCAACCTAAATTATCCAAGCCCAGTGTCCCATTGACATCAATTGGGTCGAAAATCAACCTATATAATATGGCTGCTAAATATAGTGAAATAATGACATCACCACAAAGCCAACATGTCACAAATTTGCTATAGTTTTCCCAAGATTGTCCGCCCTAAGTGACATATGAGCTAATGGGCCCCGCCATCGTTTGCGGCCTCCAATGGGCGTGTTGATGGCCAGTGGGATCATTTAGTTACGCCAGGCGTGTCCGGTGTCCACGGAACGATCTAACATGGCCATTACTGTGTCAGTAGTAATCGGAGGTAGCCGATCCAGACGGACATTAGGTACAGGCCGATAACAATTCGATGCTGCTGGAATTTGTAAGTTGCTTTTAACGAAAATAGATGAAAATCTGCGAGTTTCCAAAACACATTAAATGCGATTACGCTGCTTGTCACAACCATACATTGCTGTCTGATTCAAATACAGCAAAAAGTAAAAGCAGTCCCCGAAAATAGCAATTTTTTTCGCCGCCAAACAAGTCTGCGAATACAAATTATTTTGAAACGTATCTACCGCGTTGTTCGTGATGGGCTTCACGTTAAAACTTTTTAAATCCTTTAATTCATGCGTCACTCATGCTTACTTCGCTAACATTAACGCCAGTTCTTGACCTGTCCTGAGTGGGTCACTGGGCGTGGCGTATGAGTGCGGATTCCCGACCCAGGCAGTCGATATCTCGGTAATTACACGCGTCATCACCCCTCCCCCCTCCCCACCAGCTGACCTTGCCGGGTCGCCGTGTGATGACGTCACGGTCAGTGAGTGGTCAAACAGCTGGCGCCGGGGAGTCGGCCCCGCCCCTTCCCGACCCCTCCCCGTCACCTGCTATCCCCTCTCCTGCCCCGCCCAGTCCACGACTGGGCGAGAGAGCGACGACCACGTCCTGCTCATACTCACAGTTTGTAACTTCTTATTACTCCGAGACTATTGACTCGCTCTGTGGTGGGAGTGGGGGAGCGGGAGGGGTCGGGGTAGCTGGTTGGAGGGGTGGGGTAGAGCGGGGAGGGGCGGGGGAGCTGGTGGGAGGGGGCGGGGTAGCGTGGGTGAGAGTGATATTTTTTTTTTTTTCGCTGAGGGAGGCGTGTCGGGGTTGTATGACGTGGTAGTGGAATATGAGTGTTGAGACAGACGGTCACGTACGTACGTTTAAGCTGCAGGCTGTTATGTTTTGGTTCGTTTGAGTGAAAGAGCACACAATCAATGAAAAACGCGATTTATTATATTGCGACGCGTTCAGGCCGAAAGAGTGTCCAAAAGATAAACAAGTATGGCGAGCGCCGCGCCTAGTCGCCCGCGCCAGCTCTGCCGCTCGGCGCGCACAGTCAGCTGGCGGCGGCAGAGGCGCTCACAGGCACGGAGCCGGGGCGGCCAGCGGTGGCGGCGGCAGGGGTGCGCGCAGGCGCGGCCAGCAGCCGTGCGGGGGTTGGACCATAACACAACACCTCCCCCCCAAGACGATCACATCGTCTTCACCCCAAGGCGCCACAGCAGACCCTCCGGGGTCCGGGCGCACAAGGCCACCGGCACCGCAGCGCGGTGCAGACGGCGGCGCCTGCGCTCTCTTCCGCGACGTCTCGGGCGCTTCTTGCAGCGGACGCGCCCGCCGTCGCACGGGGAGGTCCGCGGCAGGCGTCGCTCCGGTGTCGGTGGCGGCCACGGGTCGCGGTCAGCGGCGGCTCTGGTCACCCCTAGACTCGGGTCCACGAGCGGCGGCAGACGCGCGTCGCTTTCCGTATCCCGCTCAGCGTGCATAGCTGCGACGGCAGCTGCGTGAAGCGGGTCATCAACGTCCTCCCACACCTCGTTATCGACGGTCGGACCGAGCAGGTCATCCACCACCTCGACCGAGTGGAGGGTGGTGTCACCGAGGTTCGTGTCACCGCGCCGGTCGGACTTGTCACCGGCGGACACGCATCCCTGCAGCGTACGGAGGAGCGCGGCGGCGTGAGCCGCTACCGTTTGTTCGGGCGGGTCTCCGTCCCCACTCCGTACTGGCAGGCCTCCCGCCAGCGGCGGCGGGGCTCCGTGGGCGTCAGCCAGCTCGGTAGGCTGCGCCGCATGACTACAGCCGGCTCGGCCGGTGCCCGCCGGCGGCGGCGACTCGGCGGTGCTGGCGGCTGGGCCTCCATCCGTGCTTCGAGTTGGCATGCCTCCCGCCGGCGGCGGCGAGGCTCCGTAGACGTCAGTAGTTTCACTCAGCTCGGTGGGCTGTGCCGCACAACAGTCGGCTTGGCTGGTGTCCCCCGGCAGCGGCGACACGGCGTAGCCGGCGGCTGTACCTCCGTCCCTGGTCCGCGTGGGTAGGCCTCCCGCCGGCGGCGGCGAGGCTCCGTAGGCGGCAGCCGGCCTGGTAGACTGCGCTGCGCTGCACCCAATCTGGCCAGTGTCCGCCGGCGGCGGTGACACGGCGGGGCCGGCAGCTGCACCTCGGCCCGTGCTCAGCGTTTGTAGGCCTCCCGCCGGCGGCGGCGAGGCTCCGTAGGCTTCAGCAGCTCCATTCGGACCTGCAGGCTGCACCGCAGTGGCCCCGGGCTGGCCCGTGTCCGCCGGCGGCGGCAACACGGCGTCACCAGCGGCTTCGTTTGCATGGCTGGTCCGCGTTGGAAGGCTTCCCGTCGGCGACGGCGAAGCTCCGTGGGCGCCAGCCGGCTCGGTGGGCTGCGTCGCGGTACATCCAGCTCGGTCCGTGTCCGCCTGCGGCGGTGACACGCCGGGGGCTGCCTCCATGGTCTGCGCCGGCCAGCCTCCCGCCGGCGGCGGGCAGGCTCCGCGCGCGCCAGCCGGCTCGGTGGGCTGCGCCGCGGTACGGCCGGCTCCTCGGCCCGTGTCTGCCGGCGGCACCGACACGGCGGCGCCGGTGGCTACCGATGGGCCTCCCGCCGGCGGCGGCGAGGCTCCGTGCACTCGGTCCGTGCTCCAAGTTGGGATGCCTCCCGCCGGCGGCGGTGAGGCTCCGTAGGCGTCAGCAGCGTCACTCAGCTCCGTGGGCTGCAGCGCAGTGTGCCCGGCTTGGCCCGTGTCCGCCGGCGGCGGTGACACGGCGGTGCCGGCGGCTACCGCTACTAGCGCCACCCCCGGAGAGTCTCGTACTCTCGTCACTGCAGATGTCGCCACTGGACGATCGGCCGTGGTGCTCGCCCTCTGGTGGCACACCACCTCAAAATGTCCTGGTTCGCCACACGCACGACAGATGGCGCCAGCGGCGCGACACGTGTCTCCGCCGGCGTGCTGGCGACGGCCGCAGGTAGGGCAACGCTCAAGAAACTGACGATCCCGGTCTGTAGCGGTGGCGGAATGGGCGGCACTCGGCCGTCTGCGCCTCTTGTAGGCCGGCAGGCGCGCCGCGGAATGTCCCTCGTTGCCGCGGAGGTCTGGGCACGTGACACGGGCACCATCGCTCGCCCGACAAACGTTCACGGCGTATTTGAGCGTCAGCTCAGAGTCCTCCAGCCTGCGGCTCACCGCTCCTGAACCACTGTCGGGCACACTGCACTCGGCACGGTCGTCGCACGTCGATGCCGACTCCGGTCGCGGGGTCGGGGTCGCCAACACCGGCAGGCAGACAGTCCGGCGGGCGGCGGCAGCTGGTCCAACGGATCCATCAGCGCCTCGCTCAGCCCCAGACTCTGACACTCCGGTCGTTACGTCCGTCCCCGCGGAGGGCTCCCCGGTTAGGAGCCTCTCCAAGCGCTCCAGGCGCTTGTCGGCCTCGGCGGCTCTCTTCACCTGCCTCTCCAGCAGTGCCGTCAGTTCTCATTCTTGAACGATAATTTTAGACATCGCGCTGTAAGCTCAATCACATAATTACAAAACCGACCGCGCCATGTTATGTTTTGGTTCGTTTGAGTGAAAGAGCACACAATCAATGAAAAACGCGATTTATTATATTGCGACGCGTTCAGGCCGAAAGAGTGTCCAAAAGATAAACAAGTATGGCGAGCGCCGCGCCTAGTCGCCCGCGCCAGCTCTGCCGCTCGGCGCGCACAGTCAGCTGGCGGCGGCAGAGGCGCTCACAGGCACGGAGCCGGGGCGGCCAGCGGTGGCGGCGGCAGGGGCGCGCGCAGGCGCGGCCAGCAGCCGTGCGGGGGTTGGACCATAACACAACACAGGCGTCGCGGCGCTCCGCTAGGTCTGATGAGCCGTTGACGCGATTGCTTTGCTGCCGGTTCTGCTGGGTTGTTTAGATGGAGCAGTCCTCATTGTGTGCATTTGTTTTCACCAGAGTATGTGCATAACGTGTTTAAATTTTTGGTTGTTTTCCTTTGTTTGGTAGTCGACGGTATTTTTGTTCAATTAACTTTATTTATTCTACCGATCATATTATGTATAGATAAGTTATCCTAGCCTGTATTGTAACGTAAACAATAATGTTTGTGCTCCGGTCACCGTGCATGCAGTGCCTAACCCAACGCCGCTTTCACTGACTCCATGCTACCCGCTGCCTCCAGGTGCGCCGCCGGCCGCCCGTCCCGTCTCCGCCAGCTGGAGGGCACCATCAACCTCTCCTGACGCTAACCAACAACTTGGGCTCCCCACTCCGCCAGGCTACAACCCGGTCACCTGTTTGGCACCATCTTCTTTGGTACTTTACTTCTCTGCTGGCTCCTGCACGGACTCTGGTAACTATCGCTCTCATAACCACCCACATCCTACTACTTCTCTCTCTCCTCATATCCCATGGTGGATCCTGAACATATATCACGACACCCCCGCATTACTCTTAAAAACTGGAATAGAGTCGAACCCTGGTCCTTTCAGTAGCGATAACATGAACATTAAAGTATCCCACGTGAACATCAATAGCATCACCTCACCACACCGACTAGACGAACTATCTGACTTTGCTGAAGCTTCTGGGACCGACATTCTCATGTTGACAGAAACAAAGTTAGACAATACGATACACCCTAGCCTTTATAAACTCGATAATTATCACGAACCGTATCTGAAAAATCGCTCTAGACACGGGGGTGGTGTAGCTGTTTATTTTAAGACTTCACTTGCAGCAAAACGCTTACCAGAACTCGAAATTGGAAGCACAGAGTGGATCTGGACGCTCATAAAAATAAAGAAACAAACAATAATAGTATGTTGTGTCTACATCCCACCAAAAATGTCTCAAGACAAGTTGCACGAATTTCTAGAGACATTAGGCGAAAGTGTGGCACTCGCTCAATCCCTCAATCCGACCATGATTTTAATTGCAGGAGATTTTAACGCCGGTAACAATTATCTACACAAAAGCCATCAAAATCACAGCGAAATCACTTCGTTCGAAAGACAGCTAGAAGGCATGGCGTCCTCTCTGAATCTTTTACAATTAATAGACCAGCCAACTAGGCCAAACGCTAGCACTGCAAATTTAAGAGATTTAATTTTTATATCTGACAGAGACCAGGTGGTCGACCATGGTGTGGCTTCCCCATTCTCCCAGATTGACCATTTTCCGGTATACGTAACAGTGAAAATAACAAAACCAATTATAGAGAGCACTACAAAGACGGTACGAGATTTCCACCTACTCGACGCAGATATGCTCACAAACGAACTTTTACAAACTGACTGGGATAATATTATTAATCAAAACACTGACCAGGCCACCGTGGATTTCACACATGCAATTTTGAGCGCAGCAGACAAAGCAATACCGACTAGAATAATACGCACTAGACCAAATAGCAAGCCATGGTACAATAATGAACTAAAACGGGAAGCCCGAAAACGAGACAGACTATTCAGAAAGGCGCTCAAACTACAGACAGACGAGTGCTGGGCTAGATGGAGACGGCAGAGAAACGTAGCTACTGAACTAAATAAAAAATTAAAAGAAGCGTATAGGATAAATCAAGTACAGCAACTTTTATCTACGAAAAACAATCCGCACAAATACCATAATATTTTAAGGCAAATGACCGGAAGATCCAAAGCGCACGTATTACCACCACTCATCAAACCAGACGGTGAGACAACAACTGATGATAACGATAAAGCAAATTTACTTTGTAATTACTTTGCTAATCAGTCAATATTAGAGACCAGTGACAAACAAATACCAGTTTTAACGCCAGAATCCCCGGTTCCGATCTTAAATACAATAACTATTACGGAGAGAGAAGTACTTAATCTTTTAAACTCACTTGACGTAAACAAATCATGTGGTCCCGATAATCTCCCACCAAAAATTTTAAAACTAGTAGCACTTTTAATAGTGACACCACTAACTAAACTTTTTAATCAATCGATAAATCAAGGTCATTTTCCGTCAATTTGGAAAGAAGCAAAGGTTCATGCTATTTTTAAGAGAAAAGGCTCAGCATCAGATCCATCAAACTATCGACCCATCAGTCTTTTACCCTGCATTTCTAAAATCTTTGAAAAAATCATTTTTAACCGCATTTACAGTCACATAACCGAAAATAATCTTCTTACCGACAAACAAAGCGGCTACAGGCCACATCATAGTACTCACCTTCAACTTGTTTACCTCACACACAAACTGTACAGCGCACTCGATACTGGCAACAATTTTACAACAATATTTTTAGATATAAGTAAATATTTTGACAAAATTTGGCACGCAGGTCTTTTATATAAATGCAAGACACTATTCGGAATTACAGGTACACTTCATGCATGGCTTAAGTCTTATTTAGCTGACCGAAGTATCCGAGTGTGTGTTAATGACAATTTTTCTCAGCCCCGTCTTATTAACACCGGATGCCCGCAAGGTAGCGTCCTGGGTCCATTACTTGCCCTCATTTACCTTAATGACCTCGCTGACATCACTCATAACGAATCTCTATTTTACGCAGATGACACATCACTATACGCATCATACTCACGAAACCCCTCACAGCTCATTGCGCTTCCCGGGCAGCGACCCGTAGCCGACTCAAACCGAGACGAAGTTTTTAAATCCTTACAAACTGACCTTAATATAATTTCTAACTTTGGTACAGATTGGCTCATCAGCTTTAGTGCGGCTAAAACCAAACAGGTAATTTTTAGTCACGTGACGTCTTCTCACTCACCATCGCTGTCATTCGATGACAGTTGCATACCTCTGTCAAGTAGTCACACTCACCTCGGTCTTACACTATCGACGGATCTGAGATTTCACAACCACATCAATATCATAATTAAAAAGGTTAATACTGCGCTAAGTCCCCTATATCCAATCGCTAAATATTTACCACGTGACATCCTAAACCAGATATACAACACCTATATACTTCCAATATTTGACTACAGTGACATTGTATACGACGGACTAATAACGACCAAAGACAAACTACGACTAGAACGACTACACGCAAGGGCAGCACGTCTAGTGACGGGTGCGTTATTTAACACATCTCATAACAAGCTCCTTTTAGACCTAGGCTGGGACACCTTAGAAACACGACGAAAAAAACACCGACTGATATTTTACAACAAGCTGATAAATCATTTCGCTGACTTGCCGCAATACATAAGGGACATACTACCACAAACCAGACAAGACAACACGGGTCGTGCTCTTCGCAATGCCACCAATCTCACACTCCCAAACAACAGAACATCACTTTTTAAACAATCTTTTATTCCTAAGACGACCAGAGATTGGAACATTTTACCAGAATCCATCAGAACCGATCCCAGCCTCAAATCCTTCCAACGAGCGATAGAGACCAGACTTTGTGCAGGGACCGTCCCACCATATAATAATACTGGATCAAAGTTTGGAAACATTCAGCATGCAAGACTTAGGTTGAACGCAACTGTCCTAAAAGCTCATCTCTACCAAATCCAAAAATCTTCTTCTCCCTGCTGTGAGTGTGGGAGCCCAAAAGAGACTGTAGCACATTTCGTTCTAAATTGTCCCCGTTTCCAAGTGCTACGCTCTGAACTTTTCGGACAAGTTTCAATAATTATACCCATATTTAACAACTGTAACAGCGTATCTAAACTTAACTTATTGCTGTATGGTAGAGGCCTCAACAAAAACGATCAGATCAAAGTAGCGAAATTATTCCAAAATTATATTATCAAAACTAAAAGATTCCAGAAGCAATAGCATCCAGCGGCGGACGGCGGGCCGGACGGTTCGTCGTGTCGCCTGGGGGCAGCAACTTTAATTGAAACCAGCGAGCGGTGGGTGTGGCGCGGCTTGGCGGTGGTCAAACAGACTTGTTTTCATATTATGTTGTGTTTTTTATGTAATACTCATGTTTATTTTATACCGATTGATTAAGAGAGGTGCTTTAATTTAAGAATTTTTATTCTTTTGCACCAATCTTATAATATTTTTGTGTATGTTTTGCTCATTTGTAATGTTCAAAATAAATGTGTATGTGTATGTATGTATGTACGACGTTACAAATTAGCCAATCCGACGCGAGAGGTGGCTGAGGCACATCCTTAGAGATTAGTACAGCGAGGTCTTACTCCTACTCATTCTGATCTGCATTGACCTGTTAAAGGGACTATCCCACCTTTAACATGGGGTTTGAGTCGAGATAGCCAAGTTTGCGGCGAGGTTCAGAAACCACTATCTATCTAGGTTGCAACCCCCGCGGCCTCTTGGTGTTGAAGAAATTCGTTCCCTTCATTTGAAAATGGGCCTTGCACAAGGCCCTATCTTCAACATGGAGCGACCGTTAGTGTGACGTCACCTCGTTTAGTCATTCTGATTTAAATGGGTTTGTTCGTTGAAAAATCGCTTAAAACTTGGTCTGAACTTTGTTGTGGTGCCTATACAGAGTAAAAAGAATCAGCTTTATGACAGTAATGTGGCCTAGGGAAGGAGGTAGTTTTGGGCTGTGACGTCACATTTTTGAAAGTTTGTGTTTGGAATATGGGAAGCCTAAGATGTTTAATGAAAAATAAATGCCAGAACCGTGTTCCTGGTCATCCAATCTATAAAGTCGGGCACAATTTAACTGGTTTTAACAACATTTTAGAAGGTGGGATAGTCCCCTTAAAACCTTTTCTCTCGGTTACCTAAATGTTGTAAGGTCACCAAAATCACTTCAAATGTTTTTTATCTTTCATCAAATTTCAATTCATTGATGAATAATGATTTATTTGCGGGTCAATATTTAACCCAAGGACTGAAGGAGCACGTGTTGACAGTTCAGCCAGATGGTCAGCCAGTGAACCATGTCAGATACCCCGAGTGTTTGTTGTTTGTTTGTAGGCTCACTCAAGCGTTGTTCAATTTTCGGTAACGATGCCGACCGTGTCATTATCACTGAGCGGAAATAAAGCGATTAACTGGCAAGGTCACAGTACTCTGATTCTTCAGTAAAGCCAGTTTAAATTGTCCTTATCATAAATATGGTCGTGACGGCGTCTGTTCTATATCAAATTATGTGACATTATCAGCTACTAAAAAAGACTCAATGCATATTCTCCATTCAGCATACCCCAGCTGTTGTATACCTACGCATGATATCGGTAATCCTGCGTCACCTTATTATATCCCTCCTTTCTTCGACGACTTCCAGCCGACTTGTACCCCTAATGACGTCTTTTCACGCTGCTCTGTCGGTCTTCGGGTTCGGCACCGTGCAGAGTTCCGCCGTGTACCCCTAATGGCATCAGTTAACCCGCGCGGGGCTGGGGTCTCCAGCCGAACGCGCGGGGCTGGGGGGGGGGGTAAATTTTACCCCCCCCCCCCCCTGTTATCTCCCGAACTAATGGTCCGATTTGGAAAATTCAAACGCCAATCGAAAGCTCTCATCACGAACTACTAAAAACATTTACTTAATTTAAAATTTGAGGTCAAGGTCAAGGTCAGGTCAAGGGTACAAATTGCAAGTTTCTACAGTATCGGCCTTGCACCGTAGTTGCCGAAGAATGGAGTCATGGACTGAGACTGATCGCCCAAAACGTGTTCTTAGGCTACCAAGACAATATTAGTTGCATACAATATCATTCAGAGGTCAAGGTCAAGGTCAGGTCAGGTCAGGTCAGGTCACCAAAAAACAAAATATAGAAAAGGGCATGTGCGACACATGTTTTATGGGTCATTTTACTCATAGAATTCAATAGGCACACTCAATAAGTGATATGGACCACCTCTGGATGAATTTCAGGTCGAGGTCAGGTCAAGGTCAGGTCAAGTGAGGTCAAATTTTGAAGTTGGTTGTTAAGGCCTAAAAAGGTGTCTATCTGATGCAGTTTTTCACGGCGAATCGAATGGTGCTATTTTTGTTTCCGTACAAGGTCTAGAACTTCCAAAAAAGTCATTTTTCAAAAATTTTGTGTGTCGTGACGTCATAAAATTTTGAATAACTCCCACATTTTTTAACCGATTCTTCTAAAATTTGGTATGTAGGTGCACATAGACCACTTCTCTGACATATATTCCGGTTTTTTCGATAGACTCAAAAATTTGGATTTTATAATGATTTTCCCAAAAAAGTCAGTTTTTTGAAAAAAAAAATTTAGGCCAAAATCCAAAATTTTCAAAAAACCGAGATAGCCATTTGATAGATAAAGTAAAATTACGTATAACCTTTTTTGTTACGTCTTGATTCCTTTAAAAATGAGGATGTTAGCGGCGTTTGAACTTTTGCCGTTTTTGATGCGAAAATGGCGAACATGACGTCACTAAGACGTCAATTTCTCAAAACTTTTCCGACGGATTTCGCTCAAATTTTCAGGGAACGTGTCAAATTGATGTAAGAAAAGGTACTGAAAGTTTGGCGGCGCTGCGCGCCGCCGTTTTTGAGTTATCGCAAAAATTCGCGATGGGGGGTAAAATTTACCCCCCCCAGCCCCGCGCGGGTTAACGCGGCTCCCTCTGTCGTCTGCACCGTGCAGAATCCCACCTCGTACCCCTAATGACGTCATTTGACGCGTCTCTGCCGTCCCACAGGCACCATGAAGCTGCTGCAGGTGGTTCTGGCCGTGTGCGCGGTGGGCTTCTGCGCCGCGCAGACCTACAACCAGGGAGTGGTTCAGGGCGCTACTCTGGCGCTGGCCGGTACGGCCGTGGTCGGACTGGGCGTCCTTGCCATTCAGGTACGGCTCTGCGCCGGGCGACGGGTCAGCGCCCGCGGGGTATAGTCGTAAATTTGAGGTGTTGAGCAATGGGGGTCGAGGGTCGTGTAATGAGAAGCCTAATTGCACAAGAGTCAGCGTATGAGATACTTGCTCCCAAATGAGAGCAGCATGGTCAAAATCAGCTTGCACTGAACGTCCCGTAGTATCGTTTATTTAACTTGACTTGTAACGCTCCATAGCAACGTTTCTTCAACATTACTTAATACTTACTACTTAGTTGTAACAACAACTCATGCAGGTCTCACTCACCAAGTTATTTACACGTGTATCCTCACCCTTTTCCGGCAGAACTCGAACCGTCGGCGTAACCGCTATCCCGGCTACGCCCCTGGCTACGGCGGCTACGGCGGCTACGGCGGCTACCAGCAGGGTCCCTACTACGGCGGCGGCTACCGCCCTCAGCCCTACTACGGCCGATTCGTGAGTATCTTATTTTATTTTTTTTGTGGCATCCAAATGCCACGATTCCCTACATACAGCTCATTGTTGGTTGACTTTGATTCCAGCTGCTCTTTTTATTTTTCATTTAACGCCGTCCATGGCGGGGTGTTTGTCTGCGCGTTGCGAAATTTTTACCAAACATATGTAGGTAAAGAACATAATTATTGCTCGTTCATTGCCATCTACACAACCGCCAAATCGGTGTCGGCTGAAGCGGTCATCACCTACAGGGAATGGTGAGGCGTTGGCTTTGAGGCTTTGCATGCAGACGGCGCTCCTATTCGGACAGACCTGAACCGCTGACCTGGGTTCAAATTGGAGCGCTGTGGCATAACTGAGACGTGTGTAGTGTAGACGGTTCCAAAAGTGTTCCACGTATTATCGCGGTGGTTTGGCCATGCGTCTTTCGTCGTGTCAGGCTCCATCGTGCTAGTGCAGTGCCTGTGGCTTTACGTTTCCAAAACCGTAAAAGGATGATCGGACAATGGTGGCACCCGTAAACCTCCAAATGAATTTAGCAGTGTTCCCAATATTCCACTCTATTCTCTTGTTGAGGTCTTATTCTCTATGCAAGTGGCCACTGAATGAATCTTGTGCAGATAACACCAGCGACTCCAAAGCGTTCTCGAGGTCTATTGTTAAATCCCGAGGCCTCAGCGCCATCTACAGTGAATGGACTCCTACTGAAGCAGTAGTTGACGACAAATGGTTAAATGCCTAGATGACGCTGGCGAATCAGAATGCACACATCCCTGAAACTTCCTAGCTCAGCGCCCTCTACGAAGTACGGCCAGGCCTCAGCCTCCAAGGACACCTCAGATCCCCGTGTAGATGGCGCTTTGGTTCCCTGATAGGTCCATCGCCACGCTACGGGCTACGGCATCGGCAGTTGACAGCCACAGGCCCGTCGAGCCCTCGCCTCTTCCACATCCAGTACAGATCCAGTTTTTATCGTCTTTCTTACACTTCGTTCTTTTCTTATTTCATTCTTGCCTCCAAAGATTTTAGATGTTCTCAGCATCAACAGCATTCCCTGAGCTGCTTGTTGCCTTCTTACCTGGTAATTTCAATAACGCCACCAAACTCTTCGTTTTGAGCCGCAGCACATCCATGTCTCTGAGCTTTTGGCTAAGTAGTTATAAGCGTAATTTTTCTCGGGTTCTCCGAACAGCATCGTGAGCTGTGACCTCTGTGACAGCCCCATAAGCATATCTAACCTCCATGGCAGCCTCATATCTTCCATGGTCTCTCAAAGAGCTTCATGACATTGACTGACCTCTTCGACTTCATGACCGTCTCTGATCTATCAAACTCGTGACCTTATCACTCGAACACCCTCGTGACCTTCTGTGACCTCTCCAACACCCTCATGACCTTCTTTGACCTGCTCAACACCCGTATAACCTCGTCTGACCCATTCAACAACCTTCTGACCTTTCCTGACCTTTTCAACAGCTTCGTGACCCTTTCTGATCTCTCCAACAGCTTCGTGAGCTTCCCTGGCCTCTCTGACAGCGTTATGACCTCCTTTGAACTCTCCAATAGTACTGTGACCTGCCCTGACCTTCCCTGACCTCTTCCACAGCGTCGTGACCTGAGCAGCGGAGCGGACGAGACGGAGCTCAGCTTCGAGAAGGTTCTGTCTCGCGACAAGGCCCAGTGCGGTATGCGCCTGGTGTGTGAGCTCGAGGCGCGCGCCGCCGCCGGAGAGCAGGTCGGCGAGTACGGCCAGCTAATCATCGACGGACTCTTCAGGTTAGTGACGTCACTGGGTGGCGCGACTGGTGATGAAGACGTTATTGGGTAGTGATAGAAGTCGGTGAGCATTACTGTGCTGTGCGATGCATGGTGGATCCAGAAAGGGGGCTCTGGGTGCTATATGGTTATTTTGATTAAAAAGTGTTCTTGGTGTCAAGAAATGGTCGGATTTTAGGTGCTTCATTAGCCATTGCCATGCAATTAAAAAAAATTGTTTTAATCAAAACGGTTAAGTCGTATTTCTCTGTGCGGAAACCGATCACTTGCATAAATTCCGGACGTTGCGTGAAAGGAAATGTCCCAAAGCTCCGCGCTAGACGGGCGACCCTCATCTTGCTCCTCAGTTTTCGTCGCTTTTCTCTGGTTACTTTATACTTTTGTCAGTGTCGGGAGTTTGTATTTGTACAAACACAAATACAAATTCCCCGACCCACCAGCGCATCGATGCCTGCTTTGTCTCAGGCAGTTCTAAAAAGTATCGGATGGTATCGGCATAATAATTTCCTTTGTTTATCTGCTCTAATGTCAGCTTAGAACCGTCCTTGACATCTAAGGGCATTGAAATGTGGAAAAGAAAAGTAAATACTTGTAGTAGAGATATCACCATGCTGTCGTGACTCATGTTCATAGTTAATAATTCATGGTTCTCTTCAATTATCCTTGTTAAAAGGCGCTGGTCATGCCATAAGTATTACATAACTTCCTAAGCGGCGAAATTATCCAAATTACAAATATGCCACTAGAGGTAATTCAGTCGTCCATTTTGCGTTGACCGTGTGTACGATAAGCTTTATTTAGGCTGTTCGCCGGCTTCTCTAGCTGGAACTCGTCAAGGTCATGGGTGTCGGAATTGATTTAAGGAGCAGTTTAGGTTGCATTTAATGGAGGGATGCTTTGCTGCGCAGTGCGCTGGACCACATGGGAAGTACCCTCGAGGTGGGGGGTGGAATAGAGGTCGGTCGGCAGAGCTGCTGGGGGAGGGGGAGGGGCGGTGGCAGCGGTAGCTCTGCTGGAGGATGGATGGGTGCCGGGAAGCAGCGCTGAAAGGACAGGAGCTGGAAATGGTAATCGCGGTATTCAAATAGCCGGCATAAATAAAGAGAATAACGAGAAATGTTTGGTGGAGAGTTTAGACCCCATGCCGAGCGGAAATGGTTAAATATAATTTGATGCAATAACAAGTTAAATTAAAGCTGTGAACTGCGAAGTTATCAGTCGTTACTTAAGTTATCACTTAACCCTCGCACGACCAGGCCATTTCTCATAACACGAACGACCCCCCCCCCTGTTGTTACGACCCCCCCCCCCCCTGGCGTTTCGAAATGGAAGGTCGTAGAGCTTAGCGGAAAAAACCAACGGATTGCTCTCAACGAGATCTCGCGATTGGTGGTATATTTTTTGGTCTTAGGTCAACATTTGACCTACTTTTGACCGGTCAAAGGTCAAATTTTCGGAAAAATAAACTTTTTTCAACTTTCGGCGGCGATTGCGGCAAAACGGTGGGAGATATCGACTTGAAACCTTCACTATCGTGTTCCTTGATCAATTCTCTATCGTTTGGTATGTATTTCGTTTCCCTAGCTCTAAAAATGGCGCGTTGGGAGCGCCGGAAGTCGGCAAGGTCACAGTCGGCGGCAGAAATTCGAAAAATCAAAATTTAAATTTTTGAAATCTGATTGTATTTTTGGATTTGGGAGGTCCATTTGCTCCCTATAGAAGCTAATATTGCTGCATATTCCCATTGAGGTGACAAGAATTAGCAAAATAGTGGTTCGGGCGCTTTTCAAAAATAGTACCGGACGCTGTTCCTCTTGTGACGTCATAGCTCCGTGACCTGACCTGACCCGGTCAAGTTTCTTATACCATATGATAGCCAATACTTGCCCCAACATGCATGGGAAGTTTCATCACGATCCATCAACCGATGTCCGTACCACCGGCAGGAAACCTCGGGCGTTGGCACTCAGTTTGTGAAAATCCGGCCGGAGGCTGTACCTCTTATGACGTCATAACTCCGTGACCTGACATGACCCGATCAATTTTTTTTCGGCAAAAGATGCGCAAAGGTTGCCCCAGAGGGTATGGAAAATTTCAGCCCGCTACGACAAGCCGTTTAGCGTGCACTTCGAAAAAACCTCAGGGGGGGGTTGATACAACCCCCCCCCCCCTAGGCGTTCTAGGGTTAAAGGGACGAATATTCGTGACCTTATATCGACCACTTTTTCTCTTTCTCTGTCGATCTATCTATTGCAGATAACAGCAGTTATTTCAAAATGAAACAATTTGTCGGAACATCAGTGAACTGATCATTGACAGTCATCAAAGGTATATGACAAACAATTTATTTGTGCATCGTTTCAACAAAAATAAAAAAGCATGGTCACTAAAGGATGGTGCTCTGCATTCCTATTACGCCCGTCATAAATCTAGATCATTCACGGTCGGCCACCTCATCTGCGGCGATTTCGCTGCGTCATGGTCGCCCAGCGTCTGCGCCTTTCATCGAGGGTTAGTGACCGTGGCTAGTCTTCGTTGCCGCTGGTTGGCCGGACCGCAGTTATCAGTCGGGTTTTGCTCAGCTGGTGGCGGCTCCTGGGGCGTCTCTCGAGCCGAATGGGCGCAGCTGGGTCGAAATGGCCGGCCGGGTCAGCGGCAGCGCTCGGCAGAGCGCGGTCGGTCACGCCCCGGTCCAAAACCGACCGCCGACCGACCGGCCGGGAAAACCCGCCGATTTCGGCCGAGACGCGATGGGACACTGACCTCACAATAGAGGACCGGAACAAAAACGCGCATTCCGCTATACGAGGTCGTTATGTGGTCGAGGCATATCATCATCAAGACGAATGGGATGTTTTTGTGGGTGTCTTCCGCGTGTGAGATGGTTGCGAAAGGGAGCAAACATACGACAGCTTATATAACTGACCTGCCCCACCGTCTCCTTTCTGTTTGCTGGGTGGTCACGGATGTCCTTTGTTGACACTTGACTGAGTCATCCCGACTCGATCTGAGTCACTGATACTAATCTCACGGCTCGGTCCAGAGTTCCTGGTAGAAGCGATATGCTCGTCATCGTGATGCGCCCTGGGTGACGGTCATTCAGCGTCCGTGAATCTGTTTTAAACGTGGCGATGACGTCTTCCTGGTGACGTCATCACTGAGTTCAGATGACTTCGATCTATGGCGTTTATCCTGCCTTGGTCCGGTCACGATTCTTTTCACGACACCAGACACGACCTTGTTCACGGAGCGATCACGCTGATCGGGTGGTTCGATTATGGCTCGCACTGGCACGACCAATGGCGCATCCAGGTGCCGATTTCGTGACCTGGTGACCTCCGTGAGAAGTATGAGGGCGGTCACGTCCGTAGCACACGCCCAGGTCCATAGCCCTCTCTTCCTGGTCCGGAAAACTGGTCTGACCAAAATGGTGCTGCTCAAGGCTTCATAATATGTGTCGAAGGTTCCGCTATGCGAATGTTCGCGTTTTATTTTTAAGTCTTTTTTTGGTTTTCTGCGGCATTAGTGGTTCTTATGGAAAGTTGGTGCTGCTTTATGTTGAAATTGAAAATAAAGGAAGAGAGTGAGAGAGAGAGAGAGAGAGAGAGAGAGAGAGAGAGAGAGAGAGAGAGAGAGAGAGAGAGAGAGAGAGAGAGAGAGAGAGAGAGAGAGAGAGGCAGTCAGCTGGATGTGACCTACAACTTCGCCCCCAGCCTTATGGTCACGAAGACCGCCGCCCTAACGGTCGCCCTTTCTGTTACAGCTCCCACCCCCGTCCCGTGCCTGCCGAGGCCCTGGGCACCGCTGCTGGCAAATACAGCTACGCTGCCTTCGTCGGCTCTCAGAGCGACGTGAAAACGTGCGCCGAGCTCTACTCTACCTGCAAGTACAACAGCAAGGTCATCCTCAGCCTGGTGCGCATCGCCCGCGAGTCGCGCAACTGAGCGCAACACAACGAACGCAACTGCGCAACGCCAACTGCAACTGTTGCCCAGTGCTGAGACGCAAGCTAAGGCGTGGGTGATGCTTCCTTTTGGCGTTGACTATTTGATATTTGTATGTCATCTGAGTGATGCCAGTACGTGAGGCTTTGTATTTATTTCAACATCGTATTTATTGTGAAATGTGTCTATTGAAAGTGCACACCTGTGATGCATCATTACGTCACATTGTGCCATGTGTGCTTACATCCTACCGCATCGAAATATAACGTCAATGAGCGTGGATTGTGTTTGGCTATCGAGAAAGCATATCGGTCCAAATATTGATCACAGATATAGACGGCAAATATCTGAGTACAAATCGACACTGAAAACAAATGATACGTACAAATAATGAATAAAAATACTGACAACAAATTATCAATACAAATACTGAACACAAATACTGAAAACAACTACAAATAAAGGTAGGCACCAGTTGTTATCACATCAGATTTGGCGAAAGGAATTAAAAAATGCATGCACAGTTGCCATCGACAACGGTAAGCTATATTTTGAGTAGCGCCGCTTTGGGTGAAAGGATACAGACTGCGAAGCCATATACTCAAGACGCAAACCGTTTTGCAAGAAAAAAAAACAGATGCTCTTTAAAATATAAATCAAGCTAAAAAACGATCAGCACCAACACGTTTTGCATAATAAAGCAAGGAAGAGCATTGTCTGTTTGACGGATACTTATTCCTTTCTAAAGTTTGGTGCAAAGATTACTGATCTCATGCGGCAGCTTCCACTAAACTTCCCGACACCTATAAAGGGTTGCTTTCAATAGAAAAACACAATCATTACGAAAAGAGTTTTTAGCTATCGAGCATAAGCCTCGGTCATGTAAAGCACGGAGCTTGGCTATTTTTATAAAGCATTGAGAAATTGTGGGTACAGATATGCACTGCATTGTTCAGTATACTGGAAACGTATAAAGTACTACGAAGTATAATGCTCAGCCTGCCATAATTCGAAGCTCATTTTCACAAATGCTTCTACGATGCACTTGACTCAGCGACAGCGATTTACTCATGTAGTCACGGAGTAGATGCAAATCCGCATGTTTATGGGTGCTAAGCAGTACAGGCAGTAACCTTGAAAATAAGTGACCTTTCAAAGAGCTTATCCTGTCTGCCTCATTTGCATGCTTGGTAAGGATAAACCAAAGCGGGAGGAACAAGACAAACCGCAACGTAGCTTAGAAAATAAAAACGAGCAATGGCCCGTGTAAATGGCCCGCAGTCGCGATGTTTGCGCAGTTTTGACAAACGTGTTCTGAAAGCGGTTGTGTTGTTTGCGTGCGGAACGCACACGTGCTGCCAAGAACCGTTCGGTCAGGCGCCACATTTTAAAACGCGCATCGAGATAACATCCGTAACCAGCGCTGAAATCCCGAGATTGGACGAGACGGAAGACAACATGGTTTTGCTGCTGGCTACGAGGCGTTCGCAGCACGCATACACATTGCAAAGGGCACGATAACCTTCAGAGCATTTAATCTCCAGCATCTCTGACTGCCTCCACCAATGGGGATTTTTATTTAAAGAGAAGGCCAAACATAATGGCTGTTGATATTCATGTTACAACGTTGCATGATAAAGTAGCCTGCCTATCCCTCAAACAAAGCGAAATAGAATAGCAAAGGTAGCCCAGCAAGTCACTGAACCTCTCTATCGCACGAAGCTGACCACCAACCATTAATCAATGTGACGAGCCTGGTAATTTTAAGCACGCACTGTTGCGCTCAGGATTCGCTCCAGGGGCCAGCTGATTACCATGCGATCAGCTGCTGGGGGGGGGGGGGACTGAGAGTGACAGTTAAAATGGCTGCGGCCTGTGCTAATGGCTATGCGCAGTTCCAGGCAGAAGGGTGCAGGTCGGGTTTGCCGAACAGAAGCAATGCAAGGTGTTCCTGGTAAGTTGGACGTCCAGAGACTTGTCAGCAAGTAATAGCTAAATGAGGGGACGGTTCTCTCCACAGTGGATGGTCCTCTCAAGGCCAGTGTAAGCTCTAAAAAAGTCTGAAGTCATCGGATCAAGTCATGCGATATTCAAAGGCATTTTTCGTAGTGTTGATAATGCAGATCTGCTGTAAAGTCACTTGTTTGCGTCTGTCGCCATCAGTCTCTATCGAATGTTGCCTCTCACTGTAGATCACAATATGTCAGCGCTTCTGAATACAAAAAACAACGACCTTATCCTTCACCTTTTAACAATTTGTTGAAAGCACCAACATCAGCACCTCAGTGCCTCATTTCGGGAGCTCCCCATTTTATTTGTTGTGGCGTTTCAAATTGAACCATGAATCAAGCGATGCAGGATATAAAGTGCAAAGTGGTGCAAGTGACGTGCACTCTCCCAGTAGATATAGCTAAGATGCATCCTTCTAAATCCCTTGGCGCCGTACTTCAGTAAAGTTGGACATGATTTAGAGCCTTCTATACCATGCAGTTTTTTAACGTACGAATGTTGAATAGGCGAAAAGCTTCCCCTGGCCCATGTAAAAAAAGGTATCACGAAACACAATCAAATTTGACCCAAAGGGCACAGGGCTCCATGAGCTCTCCTCCAGTGGCTCCAGTCTCCATTGCACCTCTACCAACAGCATGCACACATGGCACAGCTTACCAACAGGATATCTCTTCATCCTGGCCATAAAGAGATTAGTCTCTTTACGAGCCTCCCCAGCTGCAGCAGGGCTCTTTTAGAAGCCGCGCAGAGGTGCCTCTTTCGGCTGGTGATAACCGGTTCAAGATTCACCAGACGTTACGACGCCCTGGGTCATGAGTTAGGCGTGTCCGGTGTGCCCAAAGGCAGAGGCCAGGGGAGGGGTGCAGTGCATGGCAGTTGACCATGACACGTGACCTTCAACCCTGCTGTGCGAGGGGCCTGGCAGCGCCGGTACGATTCCATAGCCCCAGGGGACAATGTTGCGGTTTGGTGCAGATACAAGGGGAGAGTGAACGAGAGTGAGAGTGGGTGGGGTGAGGAAGGGTGACAATGCACTTTTATTTCTTGTATTACTTGACTTGAACTTGCTGTGAAATCGAATACGATCCCAAGACAATATCAGCGTAGTAAAGGTACATTTTTGTTCAAAGTACATGCAGTGAATGAGGCACCTGTTAGGTTTGGATTTAGTATTTTCAGTCTTTTTCAAGGCATATTTCATCTCTATTTCATTTGTCATATGCTCGTGGATGCACGGTGCAGCAATGGGTACATTGATCACCGACTTTGTGAGGCCTTCCGTGACTTCCTACTTTTTTGACACTTCGAAGTTCAAGCTCGTTCAAGAGATGCGTTGTTAGAGCTGTGTGATGAGTCCTAAGCTTCTATGAGCCCTAAGAACCTATGTTTTATTGTTTTTTGCTTTGAGCGCGTCTTTCCAAAATTCATGGACTTCGTCTTCCAATGGACCCGTCAACGATTGCAGTAATGAGCTAAAAGTAACAGACAAAACAGAATCAAAAAATATAATAAATGAGCCCCATCCACATTCATCATAAGTTCTTATAACATACAAAATTTAATTGCAATTTGCTGTAGCGCCGGGACTAATAAATGCTTAGAAATGAATGAGACTTCACATCTTTCCATTCCTATCCCTCATAGGATGAGCCAACCAGATGACAATGACCCAGATGTTTTGGCTCCATGAATTAGGTATAATCCATCCGTTATTAATCCATTTTAATGCCGCTGATCCCAGCTTCTGATGAGGGGTCACTGACCTGACCGGAGACAGGTGAGCGCATAAGCCAATAGACGTAATCAATCGAGCAGCGCAAAAAAAAAACTTTAAATCTGGCGACTTGGGCAAACCTAAGAAGGAACGGACTTAACCCTCGCCGGAACTATTGGTCTTCTACATACGCACCGGCCGAGCGGGGTACGCCCTCCCCCCCCCCTCGCCGTTTCGCCCCTGATGTAGCTAAAGCGTCGCGAAAAAAGAGCATGTGCGCCGATGCGAGACGCAGCGATTGGTACCCGATTTTAAGGCTTCAGATCAACCGATGACCTCTGAGGTCAGGTCAAGTGGCCCAAGGAACGGGCTCGGTTTTTAGCAAATAACTCCGCAAAAATGGCCGCAGAGCCGCGATTTTGGCATCATCGTGTTCGCCTCAGGCGCTTCGAATGGTACACTTTTTGTTTGGCTGAGGTCAACTTGAGATGTTGACCTCGGGTCACGGTCAGGTCAGAGCCCTCAGGTCACGAAGCTGGTCGAAGGAGGTCATGTCGCATATCATTCGATTCGGCAGCTCTTTCCGATTCCATTGGTGGCTTTCCTGACTCGCTAGCTCAATTTGACCAGGAGTTACTGACGAATAACTCTTATGACCCACGCAAGGTAAACAACGCAAATTAGAAGCATCTAAACTTGCAAGGAGTGCATGAAATCACGATTCCGTGTGGTAGAGATACTTTGAGATCGTTTTCGGGACCAAAACAGCAGTTTTCATTTTTCCCGGTTGACTTAATGGTAAGGTCACGTGACCGACCAGACCTCATGTGACATTTAGGAAAATCCGAGATAAACAAGTTGTGAGACCTCCGGAGGATACTAGGTCCTGTAACCGTAAGTTTCATCTCCCTGTGAAAGCTCCTCTGGCACTGAGGGCGTTGTGGATTTGCGACATCTGAGGACCTTGCAGAGATTCACTTATGAAGTCATAACTCAGTGATCTGACCGGACCTGAAAATGCAGTTGATGTCACAAGATCTGGCTTGAATCAAAGGTTATGTATATCGAGTTTTAGCTCTCTATTGTCGAGGTGTTCCGAGCTATCGCTAAAAATCCATGGAGGGCACCCTTAAAGCGCAACCGCCATTGATGCACTTTGAACGTGCCTTCATATTGCCTCCAATAATCTGAGCACCTTCTCGTGGTTTTTCTGATAATTTTTCTCCGATCTACGCAGTTGCACTGATTAAAACGCGCACAAAGTGATTCAGGCGCGTAAACTCCGCTTTTTTTCTTCTTAGGTTTGCCAGACTACCTATACCAACACAAGGTTCCAAAGGCCCGTCGCAGCTACTCTTGACAAATACTACCAGAGCATAATGGCATGCCTGCGCGAGTCTTCACGCCGAAGCATTGCCAAGGCGGTAACAGGGAATGGCAAGGCCATCCCAGGGTGGAATGACTTTGTCAAAGAAGCCCACTCAGTTCTCGGGGACATATACTGTCTGTGGGCGTTGGTAGGTAAACCAAGAGATGGCTACATCTATGATCAATT